AAAAAAAAACATTCAAGGAATCTGAATTTGTTAGCACCCAAGAAAGAAATTACTAGCAGCAAATACCTAACATTACAGCAGCACCAGCTTACTGATATTAGCAATACCTCGGCACATAGTTGCCAAGGAACTCCATTGTTTACCATGCTGTCTGGGGTTACCTTCCTTGTTATAAATACCTTGATACTTTCCTTCTTCAGGCTGCTACTCAGATCTTTCTTAATCCCAGAATACCAACCAAGACTGATCCTCCAGGGCAAAGGTTTTCATGGGCTATAGAAAAGTATCTACTTTCCTCAGTATCTCTCCAGCAATCAATACCTTTCAAGTTTTGTAGGCATGTCTTGGGGGGAGGGTAGGCCTGGTTGCTGCTAAAACCTATAAGAATATTTTTCTGGTTTAGTCACAAAACACATAAACAAGAATTTCTACCAAAAAAATCTTACAAAGAAATAAGAGAGACAAAACTTCACATTCATCACAACAATAAAAATGGCATATTAAAAATAATTCATTTATAAGTTAGTTTAATATGTTTATTATGCACCCCATACCCATCCTGTGGGCGGTAGTCACCCCATACCCATCCTGTGGGCGGTAGTCACCACATACCCATCCTGTGGGCGGTAGTCACCCATACCCATCTGTGGGCGGTAGTCACCCCATACCCATCCTGTGGGCGGTAGTCACCCCATACACATCCTTGTGGGCAGTAGTCACCCATACCCATCCTGTGGGCGGTAGTCACCCATACCCATCCTGTGGGCGGTAGTCACCCATACCCATCCTGTGGGCGGTAGTCACCCCATACCCATCCTGTGGGCGGTAGTCACCCCATACCCATCCTGTGGGCGGTAGTCAACCCATACCCATCCTGTGGGCGGTAGTCACCCCATACCCATCCTGTGGGCGGTAGTCACCCCATACCCATCCTGTGGGCGGTAGTCAACCCATACCCATCCTGTGGGCGGTAGTCACCCCATACCCATCCTGTGGGCGGTAGTCACCCCATACCCATCCTGTGGGCGGTAGTCACCCCATACCCATCCTGTGGGTGGTAGTCACCCATACCCATCCTGTGGGCGGTAGTCACCCATACCCATCCTGTGGGCGGTAGTCACCCATACCCATCCTGTGGGCGGTAGTCACCCATACCCATCCTGTGGGCGGTAGTCACCCATACCCATCCTGTGGGCGGTTAGTCACCCCATACCCATCCTGTGGGCGGTAGTCACCCCATACCCATCCTGTGGGTGGTAGTCACCCCATACCCATCCTGTGGGCGGTAGTCACCCCATACCCATCCTGTGGGCGGTAGTCACCCCATACCCATCCTGTGGGCGGTAGTCAACCCATACCCATCCTGTGGGCGGTAGTCACCCATAC